CGGGCCAGGCGGCGCCGAACGAGCGCACGCCGCAACTGTCGGCCAAATACAGGACCCAGCCGCCGTCGGAGCGCAGCCAGCCGGTTCCCCAGGTTTTCCCAGCTGTGATAGCCCAGGCCCCAGCCCCCAATCCAGGAGGTGTCTGAAGTGCCGTTCGGGGTAGGGGGTTGGGTGGCATACTTCCCTGGCGGGGCGGCCGGCGGCTCGGGTGGCACGCTGGGCGGGGCGAACCCCGCCGGCGGCAACCCTCGCTCGCCTGGCCCTGACTCCGCTGGGCCCTCGGGGCCCCCTATCATCGGGCTCCCGTGGTACCCCTTCCGCAGCCGTGGGTCCAGGTCGGCGTCGTCGTCGTAGTACGCCGGCCCGTAGTCCCAGGGCGCCTGCGCGGCGGCCCGCAGCAACGCGCGGCAAGGGGTCCCCGGCGCCGCGCGGCGCCGACCTCCTCCCCGCGCACGCCCGGCCACGGCCGGCAGCAGCAGCCCAGCCGCCCCCCGGCCGCGGGGCGCCCCCCGCAGCGGCATGACGCGGCCGCGCATGAGCTCTCCCGGATCACCGGGATTTTCCGGGTTCCTGGAGTGGGCCTCCGGGATGCCCTGGTCTCTGGGCCACCTGAGGCCGGCCCCCAGCATGACCCAGAAAGCTTGAGCGGGGACGAGCAAAGAGGAGGGGAAAGCGAAGAGGAAGGGAAAAGGACAGGGGAAAACAAGCCCCCGCATTCCTGGGGTCAGGGAGAGCCTAGCGTTTAAACCAAACAACTAATCCAGCTCCAACTGCTGATGGTGCTGCTGAACCTCCTGCTACTCCTGGTCACCTCACATTCCTGCTCATGGTCCTCCGCCCTCCCTCTATCATGCTTCCACCGTCTGCCCAGCCTCCTCCTCCTCCTCCTCCTCCTCCTCCTCCTCCTCCTCCTCCTCCTCCCCCTTCCAACGCTTCCAACGCCTCCTCATTATCCGCATCATCCATCCCTCGTCAATCTAAGTAACTCCGCCTCCTCCCTCCTCATCCTCCTCCTCCTCCTCATCTGCCTCCTCCTCCCCATTGCACCCGGAGACGCGTCGGTAAAGCAGGCCACACGTGCTGCCTCTTCCTTCCGTACAACGTGAAATCATGAAATATAACGCTTTTGACACTTGCGCGGATGGGAGTCGGGTCGTGTCCAATCAGTGATTCTCGCCTTCGCACCAGGAACACGCGTGCTTGAACATATGTAACCAGCGTGCACAGATGAAGGTGGTTGCACACATACGATTTGCGCCTTAGCTTTGCGCACAATTGTCCTTACGTTCGCTCAAGCTACACAGATGGAAAACTGCAATGCTCAAAACGATGGCATCGCCGTGACAGTGCGCACGTCCGCCTAAATGCAAAAAGAACTTGTGACACGGATGCAGGGCGGTTCAATTTCAAAACGGAGATCTCGCTTGACGCTTCGTTTGATCTGGTGATCCTAAATCACGGCGTCCTGATACAAAAGAGGCGTGCAGCGCGGTTCGGTCTCAGAACTGTGCTCTCGCCCGAATGGTAGGATCATGGGGCGTCCGTCTTTCAAGCGGGCACTCCCCGTAATTACTGAGAACGAATGTCCGCCTCCGTGCCGTCGGCGCTGAGTGGGGTGCCCTCGGGAACCTTCGAATTCTCGGTGCTGAGCATCCTGAATCCGATTTGCGAATTTTCTGGGACGTTCCGCGTGGCTTTCGGGGCGCCCCGCGCGATTCTTCCCGAAGCCACAACTCATTGGAAATTATTGTGCGTCTCAGCTGTTTTCGGCCCAGGAGGGGGGAAGCCGAACTGGCCGCACGAGCTCTCTTGTGCCAAAGATGGTCCCCGAGACCACCGAGAGGCCAACAAACAGGCGCCACGAAGCCTCCAACAGGCAGCCAAGATGAATATGAGCCACAACCTAGGCACGGTGGCGGGATGGGCTGATGGCCACTTCTCGGTAGGGGGGCTTGGTGGAGAAGGGGCACGGGACGGGGGAACGTACCGCAACCTCGTTGATACATCCTGGGTCGACTTTGGTCCCACCACCTCTTCCTCCAACTCCCCGTGATCCAAACACATCTTCCCCTTCGTGCTCTGGCAACTGCCGCGTCGAAAAATCATCAAGAATTTGAAAGCGGGGATAAGAGAGCGGACAACACAGCGAGACCAATCGGAAGGGGGGCACCGCTGTTGCTGCTGATCCTTGCCCGCTTGTTCGAGACGTCCAACTACTGCTACCGTCCGGTCACATTTAGCAGAGGACACCCGAGAACATACGAGGCTCTTCCGAAGGCAGCCCCCGCTCCAGACACGGAGAGAAAACGAGAAGCGCTGGACAGGACATAACAAGGTACCCTTGGCTCTACAGCCTCGACCTACTCATCGTTTCCTATTTGACCGTCAGCCCTTATAGTAAGGACGCACGATAAGGATGCAAGGACCTTGGAATGCCTTGCAAGCGGGGTGCGGCCAACGAAAGCGGTCAAAGATGGGCCGAAGGGGGAGGATGCAAGGGCAACCTTGGAAAAATGCGCATCATCACTATGCGGGTGTGACTGTAACGCGATCAACAATGTTCATCATCACCCTCTTCCTGATGGTCCCACCCTCTTCTCCTCCCACCCTCTCATCCTGCCCATCCTGCTGCAACTCCCGTTCCTCATTGTCTTCAACCTTGCCGTCCTCCCTCCATCCCGTCCTCACCGTTTTCCTCCTACCCGAGGCGCTTCCCGAGGCGCTTGAGGTCCACCGCACACGCCCCATTTTAAATCGCTACTTGCGGTGACTAAGAAGAGAATCGAAGCAATGGGCAGTCCTTCGAAGGCGCAGAATCCTCATAATGGTCAGAGCAGTTGGAGCCAGCGCAAGGCGCGCAGCCGCTTCGAGTGGAACACCACCCTCCAGCAGAATGGGTGCAAATGTTCTAAATGCGGCCGCCGAGTTCGTCTTTGCAAGCCACGTGCTGGTTCCAAGGACGCAGAGACCGAGGACAGCGCCCACTATCCCCAGTCAGGCGCAGTGGATGAGATCCAGTCGCTCCAGCAGCTACTGGCCACCACGACCGACGAGCCGCTCCAGGAGATGCTACAGAAACGCATCCAGCACTTGAAGACCAACCCCCCTGCGGATGGCCACTCGAATGCTGCGGCGGAGTCGGTGCGCAAGGATGTGGGAGCGTGAAGGACACTGAACAAAAGCACACCCAGTGCGTCAACAACATCATGAAGCTACGGACCGCGTTGGAGCACGCGGAAGAGGAGGAGAAGGTTGCTGCTACGAACCTGGCCCAGGCGGAGGAGGCGATAAAGGTTGCGCCGGTCCTGCTCGCCAAGATCGAACGAGTCGCCGCCGCCGCCTCCGAGCCATAGCAGAAGTCCGACCCGTTCGCTCCGAACTTCCAGAACTCTTGGGACGACGACGTTTCCGACCAGGCTGAGGAGTTAGACTTGGAGCAGAACGAGAAGGACAACGTGGAAAATACTCGCGAGGTATCAAAGATCGGCTTTGCACTAGAACGGGGTGCTGAGAGCGGGGGGGACCCTGCCAGCTCAGTTCCTCCTCCTCCTCCTCTCCTCGTCCCTCCTCCTCCTCCTCCTCCTCCTCCTCCTCCTCCTCCTCCTCCTCATCCGCCTCGTCGTCCTCCTCCGCCTTGTCGTCGTCGTCCTCCTCCTCCTCCTCCTCCCTCCTCGTCCTCCTCCTCCCTCCTCCTCCTCCTCCTCCTCCTCCTCCTCCTCGTCCTTTTCTCGTCGTCGCCCTCCTCTCCCTCGTCGTCCGCCGGCCAGCCCGCCAGCCCGCCCGCCGGCCCGCCCGCCGCCGGCCGGCCAGCGGGGTTTAGGAGGAGGCAGCTGGCAGAGGAGGAGGCGGGAGAGGAGGATCCAAGAGCTCAGCTCCCGAATCCCAAAGGGAGAGAAGGCGGGAGAGGGGGAGGAAAAAGGAAAGACAGAGAGGGAGAGGGGTCAAGGAAGGGAAGAGGAAGGGGAGGGGGAGGAGGGAGGAGGAGGAAGAGGAGGAGGGGCTGGAGGCTGGAGAGGGTCAGGAATGCTGTCCGCCACCGTGCCTGTCTAGCAGGGTTTCTGTAGTCTTTAAGGGACCCCCCCACGTGCCACGGAGTTCTGACTGCACCCCCACTATTCCCAGGGGGTCCCTGGGCGGCCATGGCGCCCTGGCGCCTCCCTAGGGCTCTCCAGGGCTGACATGACGATCCAAGAAGCCCACCCTGGCCGCCAGGAAGGCCCATGATGCCTCCAAGACGGCCCAAGATAGCCTCCATACGGCCCAAGAGGCCTCCATGCCAAGACGCCCCAAGAGGCCTGCAAGAGCCCTGCCAAGAGGTCCCCTAGAGGCAAAATTCTTTGAGTTTCCTTTGGTTTTTGACAGATGTTGGCATTCTCGCCATTTCGGCTTCCCGACGCTCCAAGACCCTAGAGGCTCCCAGTAACGCCCCAAGACGGCCCAAGAGGACCCCAAGACGGCCCATGAATGTCCCAAGACGGCCCAAGAGGCCTCCAAGACGGCCCAAGAGGCCCCCAAGACGGCTCCAAGATGGGGCCTAGGCGAGGAGCCCGAACGGACATCTCGAGCCTTCGGCCCCGAGAGGCCTCAAGGAAGCCCCAAGAAGCTCCCAAGAGGTTCGCAAGAGGCCCCCAGGCGGCCCCAGGAGGCCCCAAGAACCCCCCAGGAGGCCCCCAGGAGGCTCTCGAGAGGCCTCAAAACGCCTCCGACGGCATCCGAACGAACAGCCAAGAGGCCTATAACCCACAACCCAGGCACGGTGGCGGGACTCGCCGTAGGCAGCTGGTATGTGTTTCACATTGGCGCTCTGGCGCGCCCCACGCCAGCGTCGTTGCTTGTTCATTGGTTCGTTGCGTCCTGAAACGGCGGACGCGGCCGAGCAGCCACGAGCCATCTACCATCTGCCCACAGCGACGCCACCTGCCCACAGTGCACTGCACGTGCACTGACCTTCGACAGCTGGCAGCTCATCGCTCGACGTCGGACTTGGCAGCAGCTGCAACTCAGGAGGGCGGTCCAGGCGGTGCCTTCGCCGACACAGACAGCACGTCCAACAGCTTGCTCGCCTGAGACGCGATGCTTTTCTCGCCCTCCATCGTCTTCAGATCTGCAAGCGTTGCTGGATCGACCTTCGGGAAGAAACACTTCCGGACGCCAGAAGCTGGCAGATTGTTGGCAGGGGTGATTCCCACCAACCACCCTGGAGGCACGTAAATGCTCTCGCCCGCAGTGATCGTGGCGTGGTACAGGTTGCAGTGCACATCGTGATCAGGGCCAGCCAACTTCTTGGCGGTCTCGGCGTCCATATTCTGCATCAGCGCGGCGAAGGCGTGGAGGCTGCGAGCCTTCAAGGCCTCCAGGTCGACCTCCATGGACTCGGGAACCGTGAAGTCGTCCATCGAAACCTTGCCGAACAGCTTGAGCGGGTCGACGAGCAGCACGTGGATGCTGCCAGACACAATGTACCTGACAGAGCCGAGCAAACTCGGCTCGAACCAGTAGCGGACGTAGTTCGGGTAGTAACCGAAAGGAAAGTCTTGCGGACCTCTGCCAGCGCATTGCCGTTCACTAAGTCCGCGACGACCCACTCGGCGGGGGCCATCTTCTGGATCCAATCCTGAATGTCGTTGGCGCCTTGCTTGGGCTGCAGAATGTGCTGGACGGCGTTCTCCGCGCACTTGGCAGACAAGAAACCTGTCTCCTCGGAGTTCCACTTGGTCAAGAAGTCCTTGATGACGGCCCCCTGCTTGTCGGCGCAAGCTGTCCACGTATTGCTCTGCTTCAACTTGAAAGGCAAGTCGAACGGCGCGTGAGACTTCAAGTGCTCATTGTAGGCATCCTCGTCGACCAGATCTTGAACGGCCCTATGTCCCAAGGTAGTCCAGTCCAGCGCAAAGTTGGCCGTGTTCTTCGTGGACTGCAGCTTCGTCTTGGCATTCTCAACGTCTGCTTCAAGCTTTTCCTTTGCCTTCTCCTCGGCCTCTTTCCTCTCCTGATCCAGCTTCCTCTTCTGAGCAGTTGCCGCCCTGGTGGCACACCGTCTCAATGCCTTGTGCGACTGGTCCAACGCGAACCTGAGCTGGCCGATCATTTCCTTCTGCTGGTCCACGGTCGTAGTCAGGCTGTCGAGCTCCACCTGGTTCTGCACGGTCCCAATCGAGTTCATCAAGGCAGTCATCCGGCTCGAGCTTAGGAACTCAGTAGGATTCTCGACGGGAAGCATAGCGATGCATTTGAAGCCAGCTTGCAGAATGGTGCAGTGCACGACGGCGACCTGCTCCTCACTCAGTGTGAACTCCGCCAACGGCTCGGACTTCTCATTCTCAGCTTTCTTTTCCGCTTTCGCTCCATCGACCTCGCCCTTCTCCTCCTCGGTCTGAACCTCTGGCTTCTCAGACGCCTCATCTGTAGACTGCATCGTCACATCTGGCTTCGTCGTCGTCTCCCCGAAGAGTTCCTTCGTCTTGCCCTTGAGCGCGTCGAACAGCTTCGCCCTGAAGTTCTCGGCGTTGCTGGCGCTGGCTGCGAGGTTGTCGAGGCGGAAGTTGGGTAAGTCAGAGAACGGCCCTTTCGAGATATCCACGTAGGTCTTCACCACTTTCTTGGCGTCGTTCTGCTTCGGATCGAAGCGGCAGCGCAAGTATAAGCCAGACGCGACCAGGCGCTCCTCCAGGGTTTGACTCTCCTCAGGGCTGTCCTCCCACACCTCAGCCTGCGACTGGAGGGTGACCGCAGCGTCGGCCATACTGGTCTCCAACTTGGTCCACAGGAGTTGAATGGCTTGTTGCGCCGCCCTCTTGGCAGCCATCCGACTGACCTTCACGTCCGAGATGTCCGCTTTCGTCTTCTTAGTGCCCTTGTCATCGATGCCGCTCTTGTTGCCCCTCCCCCGGGCCCGTTTGCCATCTGGCGTGGTGTTGGTGGCGGCGGCGGGCCTTGACTGGAGTAAGCCCGCGCTCCCTGCTGTCGATCGCAACGCCTCCATGACGCCGAAACTGTCTTTCTGATCCGTCGCACTGGCAGGGATCGTCACGGCGTCGCTCGTCAGGGGCCGGTGCATTTCCCCGCTCAGCGAGGCGGTGGCGCTGAACGGGCGTTTGAAGCCCCTCGAAGCCTCGGCTCTCATCTGGTTAATCGTCTCCTGGTCGATCTTGCAGTTGCTCTTCGTGCTGTGGTTGAGCCCCTTGTCCTCGCACTTGCCCTGCCTGTCGTCCAAGGAGTCCTGGCCGAAAAGGTTCTTCGGCAACCACAGGCGCTGCTTAGACCAAGACGGCCCATCTTCGTCGCGACCGACGTCTGGGTCGGCCTTCTGCTCCTCCCAATGCGCTTTGGATTTCTCGGGCGCCCATTTGCGGAGGTTCTCCATCATTGCCATGAAGATCTCCTCGTCCACTTTCAACTTTCCCGTGCTATTCCAAGACTCCTGACGGTACCCCTCCGAGTGGACAAACTGGGAGAAGTTGACTCCGTTCTTCCTGACCGTGCGTTTGCCTCCGTTCATGGTCTCCTTGCTGGCAATGTCGCATAATAAGGCAATAGCTTGGTTAACCATCCTCCATGATCCATTCTTGCGCTCAGTCCTCGGTTCGCCACGCCCCGTCCCGAAAGATAACGAATCACGAAAGGCGACCAGTGATCAGCTTGATCGGATGGGCAACTGGCGATCTGATATTGGTCTGATGTTCGAAAGGCGATCAGTAATCAGCCTGATCGGATGGGCGATCGGCGATCTGTTATTGGTCTGATGTTCGATCATTCGATCGGCGATCGATTTGATTTTCGTGCGATCGAAGATCGAGGATCGATGCTGCAGGGAAGCCCCCCGAAGCCATGATGAAGTGATGAAGCTGCGCCAATCATCATCCAACTGCTGACTGAGCGCTGCGCTCATCACCGAAGAGCTTTATGAAAAGGTCGTAGTCTGAGCCCTCAATCACGCCATTATCGTCCCCCTCGGCATCAGGGTTATCCTCGGGCGGCGCCTTGCCGGCATCGGAGGTGGCTTTCTTGTAGGCGACGTCGTAGGCTTTCTTGTGCTTTGGGCAGAGGCGACCATTCTTGGGCGGATCCTTACAGCACACGCACTCGAGAAGTTTCTTGGGGCCAGTCTTGCTGGCACCGCTGCCTCGGCTCCTTGCAGTCTCACCGGAAGAAGTGGCATCTGGCTGGCATCGCTGAGAAAGCGCGAAAGTTACCTCCGACGGAGCCTGGAAATCAAAGGTACACTTCGCCTCCGACTTCGACTCTGACATCGACAGTCCGACAGTCCGACAGGGCTGCCTCCTACAGCGGCTGTGGGGTAGACTCGGGCTCTCGGGCTGCTCAGAAACAGATGGACTTGTGCCACAACTGGCTGCGGTCTAGACCCATGACCCGTGGCAGAATCAGGGAAACCTGGAAGGCAAGGAGCATGGGGGAGGGAAGGGTGAGGAGGGGAGGCGTATGGGATGTTGGGTGGATTTCATCTGTCGCCAATAGCACCCCCAACCCTCAACAAAGGCAATTCGAAATTCCAAAGGTGATGCCCCTGGACCCTGGCCCGAAAGAGAGAGAGAGAGAGAGAGAGAGAGAGAGAGAGAGAGAGAGAGAGAGAGAGAGAGAGAGAGAGAGAGAGAGAGAGAGAGAGAGAGAGAGAGAGAGAGAGAGAGAGAGAGAGAGAGAGAGAGAGAGAGAGATGCCACTAGGATGATCGGAGTGAGAGGCCGAACGGTCTTAGATCTTACAGCATCCCTACTCCCTCCTCCGTCCTCCCTCTGATGCACGCGTCTCCTCCCTCATTCACTCCCTCCTGTCTGCGGGCTCTGCTCCCTCCGCCCTCTTGGGGCGCTCTTGGGCCCCCTCGGCTTTCGGGTTCCTCCAAGACGGTCAGGTGGCGGGGCCGATGGGTCGCGGGCGGGTCGCGAGGCGGGCAAGTCGCGGGTGGATCGCAAGCACCGCGCGTGCCCACCCGCAGCCTCACTCTTATCCTCTTATCCGCAATCGCGGTGTGCTACGTATATCGCCTTCAAGGCTCAGTCGTTCGAAGGGATCGGCTCCATCCTCCCCCTCCTGCTAATAGATACATCCCCTCCTCATCCTCCTCCTTCCCCCGTCCCGCGCCTGGCAGGAGGAGGAGGAGGGGTCAGATCCGTTCAGCAGGAGGGGAGGAGGGAACAGATCCCCTCAGCAGCAGGGGGCCAAACTCGCAGTGCGAATGACGCTGTACTGTTGAAATTGTTGTTCGCGAGACTCGAATGCATAGCATGCTGGTCTCCCAGAATCAATCCATAGCCTCGCCGCCGCCGCCGCCAAGTATGGCGTGCAGCAGCATTCTACCACGCACAGGCTTAGACCCCTCCCCACACAAGCCTGAGTAGCTGAAGGCAAGTGCTCAAGATTCTCCACTGCGCTCTGGGGATGGCCTCATCAAAAGAGTCGTCGCCTCCTCGGTGTCGTCGCACTCGTCCTCGTCGGACTCCTTGATGGGTAAAGTGACAGGCGAACGCATCACTGGAATCATCTCAAGCGCGTCGGTCTTCCGCAACACGTGCGAAATGATGTAGACGAACGTGGCTCCGACATGCGCCAGGTGCATGCCGTTCCCCATCAGCTTTCTCTCCTCTGGAAGAGACAACGCGGAGCGACTGAAGGGAATCATGTCCACAAGCTCGCCTCCGCTCACAGGCCAACCTTGAGAGAACAGGATGCCCTTCGGGGTGAAGAAACGCTTGGAGGAAAACGAGTAAAACATCGATGAACGCAATACTGTTGGCAATGCGCTGCCTGAGCGGCCACGCTTCGTAGATTGACTGTAGTCGGCCACGAAGCACGCCTCCTTGTCACCATGATTGCACTGCGCCACGAGCTCCTGAAAGATCCGCTGCTGCCAATGCAGCAACAAGTATGTGCACAACAGTACTTGTGTATATCTATCTGCAGCGAAACTGCCGACTTAGAAGTAAGAGCCTAACAACCCGCCCATTTCAACCCTCGACCGTAGACCGCAGAGGCCTTGTGCATCCGAAAGTTCATCGCTTAGGACTTAGGACGGCAGGGGGTTGGCGGACATCTCGGAGACAACGAATAGTATGGTAGCAGTGTGGCATGAGACTCTTCGGTGGAATAGTATCCATCTCACCGTCGCGGTAGTAGTTGCCCTGGGCCTTAGCCAGCGATCTAATCCATTCGTAGTGCTCGCCATCGCTAGATACTATCAGGCCGTCCGCGGCCATCTCCTTGCTGACTCTAAAGGGAGCGTCGAACTGCTTCTGTATATCTGCGGGGCTGCGAGGGCCAAGCCATATCATCGCATCTTGATTCACTAGTGTGCGCCACGTTTTCTTGCGACGCGCTGGCCATCCAAGAACCTGGGAGTCGGTATTTTGTCATGCAGCTCTAAGCCCCCTCACCCTCCTCCCTCCTCCTCGCTCCTTCTTCTCCTCCTCGCTGCTGATGCTGCTCCTCTTCCTCCTCCTCCTCCTCGTGGCCATTTTCCTCCTCTCTCCTCGCACCTCCTTCAAACTTCAAACCCGAAAGAAAACTCGTAAGGACTGAGGCCCTCGACTAGATAATCCAGAACCTGGGAGCTCGACCCCGCCCTCAGAAAGTCAGAAAGTGAGGAGGGGCTTGAGCGCAAAAAAACCCACCGTGGTATCCAGGATGAGAGGGACGACGAAGAAGTCGTTGCTCTTCTTGGCCTCGTAGATCTCGTCGGTCAGGACATTGATGGGCATGCGGTCGGAGTTCTCGATTGTGGCCAGGTCAGGCTTGTCCTCCAGCAAAGCGTTAATGAACACGTTCCAGGACTCGATCGACTCGTGTGCCAAGCCTTTGTTGTCACCGTACGCGGTCCAAGGCAAGCATACTGGCCCACTCGTGTTCCACACGAGCGGCTGGGCACGATCTGACAAAGCCCCTATCCTCTGCCACTTTCGCGGGCACATCTTATCGTGGATCAAGCAGCTGGCAAACCTGCCCGGCCTGAATATCTTCGTGCGGTTCTGTCTCAAGTAGTTGGCCTGATCTTGATACGCATCACGGGATTCGTCAAGTCGCCGCTTTCTTTCCTCTGCACTGACACTGCTACGCTTCTCATCTCGATAAGTAGGAGGCCGTCGTCGTTGAAGTTCATCTTCAGCGTGTGCTGGCAGGTGGTCGTTTATCTGGCCAAAAAGGTGGCATGGGCCGTTGTGCGCAAGGAAACTCATCCCAATGACTTTCTGGCACACCTGGCCGCTGTCGCACGTGGACCATGATTTGAACATATCCTCGGAAACCTTGGCGCCAACAATCCTCATTCCGCGAATCTGCATGCGGATGCCTGTCTCGGCGCACATCTGGCCTGTGAAGTCCGACTCCAAGATCAAGCCCCCCTTCAAGTTCACCTCGGCGCGCTGCTTGGCGGACTCCCCGATGTTGCCGCGACCGAGGAACGTCATGCTGGCAAGCATCACTGGCCACCGGCTCAGCTCATCCTGCGAGGTCGGTCCTTTGCGTCCTCGGCTCCGCCGTATCACATCGTCAAGCTCCAGCGCGATCCTCTTCTTCTCCTTCACGAAACGCGCCGCCTGCGGCGGCGGGAAGAGAGGGGGCAGGGGAGTTGGAGGAGGGAGGAGGGAAGGGATGAGGAGTGAGGAATAAAACTATCGGGCGAGCAAGATCCTAGCCCCCTCCCCCAGTTCAAGTGGGGAATGGCAACTCCCTATTCGCCCTTCATCTGGTCATATCATGTCTCACGAGTCACGAGTCTCACGCCTCACGCTGGCACGCTCGCCCCTCACCAGAGTCAGAGCACCAGGTGCACCAGAGCTTTCGTCCTCATCATCATGATTCATGATCCTCCTTCCTCCTCCTTCCGATTCTCCCCTTCTGCCCCCTTCCTCCTTCCTCATCCTTCTCTTCCTTGTTCTCATCATTCATCATCTTCCTACGTGGAGCCGCACAGGGACGCATGACCACATGACACAAGGACGTGGGAAGGTGGGAAGTGGGAATCCCAAGGTGCTTCATACGCGCCCTGATGGTCTGGTCAATTGAAAGCAAAGTCATCATCGTCTGGAGAGTTTGGGAGCTCTGGGCAGGTGTCCTGGAGCCCTGGATGCCGTCGACAATGTGGCGCGATGTCCTGTCAACAACTTCCGACTGCCATGGGATTCCTACAGAGTGGCCCCCACCGCGGTCTTCCAATTAATGATGCTCTGCGAGAAAGGCGAGAGGCAGCTCCTCAAGATAACCTCAGGGCCCCCAGAGAAGCTGGAGCAAAACCATAAAGAGCACAGCCCCCGAATATTACGAAGGCTAACCCACATGAGGCCAAAGTGCTAAGCGTTCTCATGATCTCGAGCAGTCAACAGTCAACACCCCGCAGTTGACCCCAGCCTACATGTTGGGAGTCTTGAGCCCCAAACTCGCTGATGCACTGAGCCCTGGGCCTCTGGGCTCTGGGCTCTGGGGACTGGGGAGCGTTAATGGCCCCACCCCCCAGGGCCAGGTGCGAGGTGCGAGGTGTGAGGTGTGAGGCGTGAGGGGCGAGGGGTGAGGGGTGGGTGAGGAGGCCGAACGACACCCCAAGACCTTGGGGCTCCAAGACCCAAGCCCCAGGCCCCCCAGAGGGCGAGGGGACCGACCGACACCCCTGCACCCCAGGGTGACAGGGTGAGTGGTGTGGTGAGTGAGTCTCGACCTGGGGCCCCAGGGCCCTGGGGTGACTCGCTCAGTGCTCAGCCCTCCCCAACTTACACCCCTGGGCCCCTGGGGCTCTGGGGCCCAGGGGTGACTCTGGCCCGAGGGTCACGCGCACACGGATGAGCCCAGGACCACCCTGAGGCCTCATGAGGACTGTCGTGGCTTAGTCTGGCCTTATACAACATGCTACCTGATCCTTAGCGTTGTTACAATAACCATATGGAATATATTACATTCCTTCGAAATCGAATGGCAGCATCATGCAATCAATACTTATGTTGGAAAGCTGTCGAAACAAAGCAAAACAAACAAAACTCACGAAAACATCAAACAATTGAACGATTTCGTCATTTTTCGTAACGAACGCTCCCAAACCAGTTAAACCGACCCGACCTGGTGATTTTCATACCGAATTGCTCCCTCGCGACTCAAACAGATAGGAAATTATGTTTTTCATGTCAAAACGTTGAAAACGATCATGTTCAGTGCAAAAATGAAGCAACACATTGTGTTCGATGCGTTTTGCACCAAAACTAATCAAAATGACCCAAACTGACCAAAACTGATCCAAACTGACCAAAACTGACCA